AATAATGCCTGCCGAACCAAAGAAAAGTGTAAGGAACTTCAAGGGTCAAACTCCTGCCTCATCCACCATATAGTTCAAACCTCGCACCATCGGATTACTAATTATTTAGATCCATGGCCCATTTTCTTCAAGGGAAAAAATTTGATAATATTGTGAAAGTTGAAATTGTGGTCCAAGCGGTTCTTTGAAAGCCATCCCAAAGATTGGTATCGAGCAATTGGCTAATGATGGTAGATAACAATGGACTATACTTTGAGTATTAATTGTATTTTATATTAAAGAAATAATAATACAAATATTTGGTTGAAAAATGGTAATTATTTTTTATACACCATATTAGATGACAAACAGGTTGAACAACTATTTTCTCCAAAAAAAAATTATATAAAAAACATTATTTTGAAATATGAACTACTCCTATTCAATCAAAACTATTTACCAAACAGAGTGTGGAAGTAGAGAAAAAATAATTAACATTTATTCTAAATTTTATTCAATGGTCATAAACAAAAACTTATAAAGACTTAAAAATATAGAAATCATAATATTTACCAACAGAATGTTTTGAAGTATTATTCTTCTATATTGCATGAATTTGTATATAAATAAAAATAACCAGTACTTAAATGAAATCGCACAAATTAATATAAGTTTATCGAGAATGAACTATCATTCCTGAATCAGTTTCTAGTAACTAATAAAGAAAGACGTTTTGGTTTAAAAAAAATTAAAAATCTGGAAGTGAGTGAAATTCTCTCTTTCACTACTCCCTATGAAAAAAAAAAGTTTGGAGAATAAGTACCAATAATTCAAAATTATGGATGAAACAAATGAAAGAAAAAATTAAAGGAAGAATAGCTATCAGGTTTTCATTAAATGACACATGCCCCTTTATGCCAAAGAATTTATTATTTATAAATAATGTAGAAGAGAAAGAAGTTGGATGGGAGTGTAGTCAAAGGTGAAAGTAGATAAAGAAACAAAAAACAGCTTTATTTTCTGGTTTGCCGATATTTCGACCGAAGTTTTAGGCCTTAAAAAAATATTCAAGTACTGTATATAATGATAAGACATGACAATATATGTGAAATATTATGTAAAAAATAAAGAAAAAAATGTAATAGAAGAGGATAAGATATAGTGTAATACATGAGAATTTGGTAAAATAGATTAGTATAAGTAAGTAGTCAAAAATAATATATAATGAATGAAGAATATATGATATGTGAAATATAAAAATATAAGAAGTGATAATGCAACGGTAATAAAGTAACAGTTCATAAAATTAAACTTTATAATTTCCTATATTTTTATATCTTACAAACCACATCATTTAATTTATCAAATATTTTTATGTATTATCATACTGTCTATTATCCTCTTGTATTATTATTATTTTTTAATATGTAGTTCATATTAAATCATGTCTTACCATTATATACACTACTTATTTTTAATTTATTACACTATTTATTTTTATTTACCTTTATCTTAAATAATGTAATTTTCATTCACATCTCAATATATATATATTTATTATTTACAAATACAAATTTGATAATCATTACCATTTGTATACTATTTTATCTTCTAATTTTCTTATTAATATGTTTTTGTTACTCTTTCTTAAAGGTTGCTGTTATCTTTTGCTTACCTTTGCTAATCCTGATGAAGGTCTAAAACTTAGGCTGAAATATCGATACATAAGAAAATAAAGCTTTTGTGTGTGTACTTTCACCTTTGAGTGCACCTCCAACCAACTTATACTATTGATCTCACGGTCAACAATATCTCCACCATTATTATTCTTATAGTTTTAAATAAAATGTCAAGTTTAATAAAGGGAAGAGAGGTGTTACAAAAAATAGGTTTTTATTCTATCAAAACAAAAGTATCAAAATATATTTTATTAATAATTACACTTTAAAATGTTAGAGTATAAAAAATAACAACAATTAAATTTAAATATGCAAAGAAAAAAAAAATGATCAGCTTTAAAGTACTTTAAAAATATATCTATTTAATTTAAATATATATATTCTATCTTTAACAATATAAATTATGACTAGACTTCGACAGATGACCAATAATGAGATCAGATATCACAGATCCTTCATAAAACTTACAAAAAGGAAATCACAAGTTAAATTATAATTATTTTCTTTATATAGAGCTTAATTTTTTGTTTTGTTATTATTTTGTTTTTCAATTCTTTGTAAGGGTACAGCAAAGTGAAAGCATTCCACCAACTGAAGACAGCAAGAAACAAATATATTCTTTCTAATGAAATTAATACACAATATCACAAGACTAAAAGCTATTAAAAAATTCACAGATAGAGTCAATTTCAGGATGCAAAACAGTATGTCACTAAAGTCTGGAAGTAACCCTGAAACAGAAAAAATAAAACCTTTATTTTAGAAAATATTTCTGTTTTACATAACTCAAAAATTGGGGTCAGAACATAGCCATGGAATGCTCTACAAACAAAGCAACCTTCGGTTAGCTAATATAATAGCTACAATTAGCTAATACAAAATAATTTATGAGTAAAGAAAAATAAAGATAAATTAAAAAATTAATGCAGAGTTGCATATATAAGACTGAAGATATAATTAGGACTATATACAGAAAATAGTAACAATTTCAATCAAATTCCTCTACAACTGTAAAAATATTATTCATACTGTTCTGAAGTCAGAGATTTAAAAAAAAAAAAAAAAAAAAAAAATCAAGCCTAATGAGAAAGTAAAAAATTACTGACTAAAAAAATAAATAATAGGTCCATGGTATCTAATATATACATTCAAATTAATTTTGATTAATAATTAATTTTCTCAAAACAATATGAACTAAATTTACAGGTTTACTACAAACATATTAAATAAAAATAAACTCTCCATGGCTCAAGAGGAATGCATGCTATATTATATTCTAATTTTATGTAAAACCAGAAACATTTTAATTTTGAAATAAGGTTTTATTTTTTCTGTATTTTTAAAATTCCGATAGATCCACATAACAAATAAGCCTACAAGGATTATAGGAACTAATGAATAGTATAACTAAAAGCTAGCTAATAAAACACATTTAAACTGCAATTTATTTAATTTTTTTCAGGGAGTAAATTTCAATTTATCATGTTTTAATACTAACAACATATTCATGTTAATGTAGCCACAACAAACAAATAAAAAAAGGAAAAATAATTTCTATTAAATGACAAATAAATAAAAATAAGTTACACCTAAACATTTATAGACAATTATTTTGATTCCCAATTGAAGCAGAAAACAACATTCAGACCTAATAAACCCACAGAATTTCTTAATAATAGAGATTCAAATTTAAAATAAGGAAAACATGTATATACAGATGCTAAAACAGGAGATTAATACATACATATTTATATTTTTGTAATTTATAATAATGGCAAAATTTAGATGTTGCAAGGTAGATAAAATGAGAGATTAATGAACATAGTCATAAATGTTATTAGAACATTTTCCTCTTTCTTGTATAGGACCATTTCGTTTTTTCGTGATCATTGTTGATTTCAATGATACAGACTGCTCTAAGAATTCATATTTTATCCTTGATATAGTTGAAATGGTTGAATGGAATAGTTTAAATTTCTGTGACAAGTAAAACACAGTTTTTCTGCAGGTTTGTTATTTTATTTTTCGGTCCTAGGTCTATTGATTTTCCCTTATTTTTATTACTTTTGCTAGTCATTTTGTGAATAAAAACACAGAACTAAATTTTATATAATACAATGAAATTTCGAATTTGAGCTACTAGTAAACAACAGCACTTAAACACACACAGAGGGTAACTGACACAGTATAAGCTGCTGGATTGAGTCATCCATATGTTAGAGGAAATCAATTGCATCCTCTTCTTCTATGCCTGGAGAGTGCCACTGATGAAAAAAAACCAAACCTTTTCTCTTACCTTTTTATTTATTTTTGAGCTTTATAAGTCAAGAACTGAGACTATAAAAATTATGTTTTCCATAAAATTGACAAGTTTTAGCTTTTATGTTATTATCAGAAATAAATTATTTAAACTAAAAGATCACTAACAGAGGATAAAGTTGTTTTTACCTCAGTAAATCTGAACCAGAGAACTTAATTGATTGATTCATTTATTAAGAGTAACAAACAGTGGGAATGAAAAGAGCAGTGGACTAATGAAGATTAAGAGAGTAATAAACATTGAATACACGAATACTTTAATACCATAGCGTGATGTAAAAAACAAAATATATATATATATATATATATATTATAGTTTTTCAATAACAGCTCTTGGATTATTTATTTATTTTTCTTTAAAATATTTTAATTATATAAATATATATATATATATATATTTATTTACTTTATTTATTTATTTATGAAGTATAAGAATTTTGTTTTTAAAATAATATATATATATATTTATATATATATAATTTTAAAAACAAAATTCTTATACTTCATTAAAAAAGTTTTGCTCTATAACTAAATATCGTCAGAAGGTTTTATTTGGTAAGAGTACTTCATTTTTCTGCCCTGTAGTAAACCTTTTAAAGAAATAATTGTCAGTAAGTAAATAAAAATCAGTAAGAAAATGCAATTTCATTTTGATAAAAACAAGAAAAAAAGAACAGTATTTGTTATTACTAACAAGTGAGTGATCATATGTAAACTATGTATCTAAAGAAAAAAAAAAAGAAATGCTATAACATATGGAGTACTATGTGTGTTACATATCAGATGGTAACACAATTTTTCAAGAACTGCTGTGGGTAAGCTTAGACTTCGGGATATGTTAGTTTGCCAGCCTAAACAATGTTTTTTTCGTAGTTCTAAAAATTTTGAGTTTTGCGCCAAGTAAAAAGTATTTGAGGGGAATTTGATTTCACTATTTCATTCAAATCATACAACAGTAAAAATTAAGGTGATTCTGACATCTTAGGATTGAACAAGTTAGAAGTGTCAGGAAGACCCAGGAGTATGAAAAGAAGAAAGGAAGGAGACCTGCAGGAAGACTGTGCCTATCCTCGGAGGACAGTGTCGGGGAGGTGTTCAGAAGGCAGGGTATGGATTGGAGCAGAAAAGAATTGGTTAAAAAGTGAGACATCTGGTCCAGACTCTACAAGCAACACCACACTGGATAGCGGTACTTGGGGATTAAAGATTATGACTTTATTCAAAAGAACTTTGCAGCTGAAACACTCGGAATTCTTGTTGAGAATTATGGTGAGCATGCTCTGTTAGAAACAACATGTAGAAACTGGTTTTGGCATTTAAAAAAAAAAATGGTTTTAGTCTAGGAGATAAAGAAATCTCTAGTGTACCAAAAATATCTGAAGATGAAGAATTGGAGAAATTACTTTATTTACAGTATAATTTAATATGAGCGGCTCAAATCTAACAAAACTTTCGTAGGAGATTGCTATCAAATACGATTGATGCCTTTGAGCCAAGCTCAAAAGGAAAAATGGCCGATTTAAGATCAGACCCAACAAGGTGATTTTATTGATTTACCGATAAAAACCTACCAGGAAACTTTTAAATGGGAAGTCCTTCCCCATCCGTTGTATTCACTTGATATAGCTCCTTCTGATTATCACTTACTTTGTTCGATGGCACATGGCTTGGCTGAGCAGCACCTACATTCTGAATTTACCAAAAAATAGGTAGCTTCTTGGATAGCCATGAAAGACAATGCATTTCTCCAACGTGGAATTCAAATGCTGCTAGAAAGTAGTGGCTAATAATAGACAATACTTTCAGTGACATGTTTTTTACTACTTTAAATTAAGAATTTATTATATTTAATTATTTTTTAACAAAATCCTTTTTAATATCACTTTCTTTTATTATACATTTAAAACATTTTTATAATATTTAAAAATCATTATTTTTTAACGTTTTGGCTCCAAGAGCCTTTTTCAAAAATTCTTTTTCATTAAAAAAAAAAAAAAAGTTAGTCGTATAAAAACATCATTTCTTAAAATATATATGAATTATTGAAAGAAGTTAGTCGACTGATCTACATATCATGGGTGATAAATAGTCAGGTTTAAAAGTTTTTATTGGTGATGACATTTCAACCCAACCATATGGGTCATCATGTGTTTCAAGCACTGAAGGTATTAAAGTACTTAATAGGCTTATTAACAAAAAAATGGGGGTTCAGGAACAAGTTTTGCTATAGTTTTGATTTTCTCACCCTTTATGTTTTTTGGGTTGCTGAACATGAATTTGAAGTTTGCTAGCAAAACTTTTGTCCAGAACTTTGTCTTTTGGGCACTTTTTGACAAAATGTTGGCACTTTTTTCATTTTTTGTCCTATATCTCAAAAAGGAATTTTTTTTTCGACAAACCCATTCTACACAAAATTAAAGTAGACAAAACTGAATACATTTCTTATACAAAACGTTTTTTTGTAAGACTAACCGTTTCGCCGCTAGAGCGCACTCTTAAGGGGCCATATTGCGGTGAAATTTATCAATTAAGCGGAAATTGCCCTTGTTGCGATTCTTAACTGTTTAGCAATTTATGACATTATACAATTTATATGATATAAAAGTACATTTTCCATAAATAATGTTGTTGTTTTTTTCAAGACTAACCGTTTCAGCTTTAGAGCTGGCAACAAAAGGGGCCATATTTCCATATCTGTGAAATTTTCAATATAAAAAAAAAAATTTTTGATTGCTCCACTAATTTATTGTGGCAATTTTCTTTATACAAATGGCAAAGCGCTTTTAATCCTTTAATTTATTACACAAAACAATTTATATGATAATATTGCACTTCATATGCAACCACATCAGGTACATGCTCAATTTGGCGTCAAACCGCCCTTCCAAATTCATCATCACAATCTTGTTCATCCTTCATAACACTTTCTCTCTATGAAACACTCACTAAACAAATGCATTTTGTTCGTTTGTATCCAGTTATTTATTACTTTCTCTATATTCATTATTCATGTAAGGTATACTGGGTCCATGAATGTTTTTTTGGAGCGCTCTAGTGGCAGAACAGCTGGTCCAGTGATTGTCAACCTTTTTTTTGTTGCAGTACATTTCAACGATTTCAAAATTTGGTGGCAAAGAAAAAGATAAGTTTAAAAATTGTTTACTTACATATAATACACGGTGTAAAATAAGTTTATAATAGTTTTGAATGTAACATAAAATAATATGTACTACAAAAACAACAGTATGTGTATAAAGGATTAATTACAAGTAAATAATAAGAATATTTTTAATAAGGAATTTGAGATTGATTTCTATTTCTTTAATATACATTTCCAAAATTTCGCAGCACAGTGATTGAGAATCACTGGGTTAGTATTCCAAAGAAAAACATTATTTATGAGAAATCTACTGTTATATAATATAAATTGTATAATGTAATAAATTGTTGCAACAGATAAGTATCACAGGAAGGGTGATTTCTGCTTAAACGGTGAATTTCACTAGATATAGAAATATGGCCCATTTTGGGCAAGCTCTAGCGGCGAAACAGTTAAGTCTTACAAAAAAACGTTTAGTATAAGAAATGTAGGTAATTGTGTCTGCTTTAATTTTGTATAGAATGGATTTGTTGAAAAAACACTTCCATTTTGAGATATAGGCCGAAAACTGAAAAAGTTCCAAAATTTGGTCAAAAAGTGCCCAAAAAACAAAGTTCCAGGCAAAATTTTTGTCAGCAAATTTCAAATTCGTGTTTAGCGACCCAAAAAACATACAGTGTTAGAAAATCAAAAGTATAGCAAAACTTGTTTCTGAAAATCCTAATATGCATAGATTATAAGTACTTTAATACCTTCAGTGCTTGAAACACACCCTGATGATGAACCACATGTTTGGGTTGAAATGTCGGCACCAATAAAAACCTTTAAAATGACTGCATCCTGACTATTCATCATACATAAAATACATATCTATATAGAATACTACTCTATGGTAGTACTAAATTTTGCCCCAAAAAATATTTATAAAATTAATTTTTTTTTTTTTTTAAACTTTGTTTTAAATTATTACATTAAAAAGGAGTTGTTAAATTACACAATGAAGTTTTTGATAAAAAGAGAAGAGAAATTTTGTGGAATTTTGGAAGAAAAATAAAACAAAACATTTTATATTTAATAAGACAAATACTACCATAGAGTGGTATTCTATATATTGGGTTGGCAAATAAGGCCTTTCGGTTTTCTGTTTATTTTTATGTCACTATGATACACTTCTTATCTGATGAATTAATCTCTAAGGTGGATTGCTTATCCTGTTTGTAATATGTCAACAACTATATCTGTTAACTCTTATTGAAACTAGCTTAGTATTGTGTTTGCTATTACACTGTGAATATGGAAGAAGCTATCATTCATTATCGGCATATTTTGTTGTATTATTTTAAAAAAGATAAGCGTGATGCAGAATCTCATAGGAAAATTTGCAGTGTTTATGAGAATGATGCCTTAACCGAACGTACTTGTCAAAATTGGTTCACCAAATTTCATTCAGGAAATTTTGAGATCAATGATGAAAAACTCAGGTTTTCCTACTGCTTGGAAAAAAGCATTAGTCAGACCTATTAACAAAATCCCCAATCCTACTTCTCCTAAAGACTACCGCCTAATCTCCATTCTCTCTAATCTTTCTTAACCTTTGGAAAGAATAGCTCAATCCCAAATCTCTAAACTCCTTGAGAAATAAAAACTACTTGATCCTCTCTAATCTGGTATTCGTCCTGGCTTCTCCACACAATCTGCCCTACTAAAAATTACGAATGACTTACATACTGCAATGGACAAAAAAATGTTAACTGTGCTAATACTTCTCGACTTTTTCAAAGCTTTTGACTCCTTAGACCACGCTATACTCTACACTACACTAAATTAAAATCTCTATCCTTCTCCAACAGCTCTATCCTTTGGTTGCGGTCTTTCCAATCCGACAGAACTCAAGCAGTCAGCATTCCGAACCAACACCTATCTTCCTTCCTTACACTGTCCTCTGGAGTGGCCCAGGGTTCAAGCATTTCCCCTCTCCTTTTTAATTCCTATATAAATGATCTTCCCAAATCCATCTACCACTGTTCACACCCACCATTTATACGCTGATGACTCCCAAATCTATTTATCCTTTCACCCTTCTGAGCTATTAGTCGCGTTCGCCAATATTCAGGCAAACCTAGATAGGATCAGTGCCTCGTTAAGTCTGAATATTCTGGCCTGGTCGCCCATATGAAATTGAAACAAGCAATATTAAGGCTATTGTTGATCAAAATCCCACTCAGTGTGAGAGATTACTATGGCCCTAAATGTGTCACAAACAAGCGTAGATAACCATTTACAAATGCTCAGCTATGTTTCCAGGCCTAATGTTTGGGTTCCTCACATGATTTTTTTTTTCGAAAATCACAAAAAATGTTATAACTTCAATACAACTTTAGCATTCTACAAGAAATTTAGCAGGAATTTAGGGCCACATAAACTACACAAAATGACATCAACAAGACCTTCGTAAACAAACTACAAACGGAGATAAAAATAAAAACCTATAAGGGGTTATCTAGGGGGCTAATCTAATTTATCATTTTTTAGCATACTTTAAAAATTAAAATGAATAAGAACTTTGAAAAATTATAAAGCATAAATTATAGTTGTTTTTTTAAGATAAAAAAAAATTCCTTATATTTTACTATTAGTATAAATTAATCAATTTCTATGCACTAGAGCAAAGAAGACAAACAAAAATAAGGTTCATCACCACAGTCAATACCAAATTTCAAACTTTTTATTAACTTTATTTTTTGTGATTTCTTTATTCGATATGAGAGTGTTCTTTGTTGGAATTATATGTAATCTTCTATTCACACTTCTGCGGTGATTCGTTATTTTTTAGTAGTTATACTACTTCCTTGAATTCCATAATAGACATTTTTTTCTGTTAAAGACAGTCTAAAATAAAATATTCTATGATGAGTTTAATACACCATTTCTGCGTGTGATGCAAAATATATGAATACAACAATATTTCCTTAAATGAAGAATTTTGACAATGACAATGACCATTTCATCAATTTTGGATCACTTTTATTATACTGGAATATTGTTGGATTGTATTTTTTAGAAATAATAAGATTTAGGAATAATTTGTGATTCAATCATAATATTTGAATGCTTATCTATTTTGTCTGAACATGAATTTATTCCATACTAAGACAGAGCATGCTTCACTAACACAATTAATTAAATA